TCTGAACGGCAAATGGATTTTATGAGAAGCTTTTTCATAGCAGAAATATAATAATAATAATAATAATAATAGATTGGCGCTTTTACATATGTTAGTGTTTTACCGAGCTTCTCCTCCGATTTGTGGCGTGCGCCTTGATGATGCTCTCGGAGGTTTACCATTGCCTTCCGAGGGGCGACCGCCCTTAAGAGAAAACTTGTTTCTATATATAAATATATTTTTTGCGATGTTGCGCACTGCTAACCACTACACCACAGCGGCCAGAAATATGGCAGAACTATACTCCTTCTAATTTGGATGCTGCTTGAACCTAGATCCTGCGGAGTGATCGCACGCTCTTCTAACCAAGTAGCTGCATTGGCCGTTGCAATATATTGTTATAACCAGATCTCCTTCGCTTTCGACTAACAACCAGTAGTCAGCTTTGGCAGTAAAGATGCAAGAGGAAATGCTCAACAAGTAAAATGAAATCGAATAGCATTAGCAATTGAGTATTATTGGGGTTAAGAAACGCTGAGTGGAATGATACGATGCACGGTGGTATTGCGGTGGGAAAAATACAATATTTTGAGTATTTAGTTTTTATATTCGAATGGTTTAGCCTAACAAAGTGATATTTGAATAAGACCAAGTAGAACAAATAGTAGGAAGTATAAGTTCGGGCGAAACCGAACTTTATATACCCGGCGCAGGGATTAAATATCGTCGTTTCAACTTTCTCTAAACTACCTTTGCATGGTAATCAGGACTGTTTTCCCGATTTCAAACATTTTCGATAATATGCTGAGCTATGCTTAATTATTTATAATGGAACTAAGTTTGGTAGAAATCGATAAAGTGGTTACCGAAAACGCCTTTGTAGTCATAAAGTGGGCGGTGCCACGCCCAATTCCTAAAAGTCTATAGAAGTCTTATTTATTTATAAGATATTGATGTTAATGAAATACCGGAGTTTTCGTATTTCTGCAATTTAGCGTTATACGGGAAGCGGGTGTAATTTTAGTCCGGTTAGAATTATTTTTCACGAATTTCTTTTCCGTACCAGGGTTGTTAAGTCTACCAAGTTTGAAACTTATAATTCGGCTACCGAGATACACATTTGTGGTCATAAATGGGGGGCGCCACGCCCATTATCCAAAAATTCATAATAATCAAATTTTCTGTTAAAAGGAGATTGAAATAATTGATTTTAGGTGAATTAGCGTTAGTATTTGTTAATTTATCACAGTTTTCGTGTTTTTGTAAATTACCGTTTTATGAGAGGTGGGCGTAGTTATTGTCCAATTTCAAAGAATTTCAACAGATTTGTTAGCTAGACCATAGGCAAGATTTGTACCGAGTTTGGTAAGGATTGGTGAAGCGGCTACTGAGATATTTACAGCATTTTAGAATAAGTGGGCGGGGCCACGCCCATTTTTCAAAAATTTCCTACCTTGGATAAATGGAAACCTACATACCAAATTTCGTTGAGATATCTCAATTTTTGCTCGAGTTATCGCGTACACGGACAGACGGACTGACATGACTTAATCAACTTCTCTATTAATTATGAGCATTTATGTATTTAGATTTATTTGTCTATATCTATCTTGGTTCGTTTTGGCTGTTACAAACGACGGTTATGTGAAAAAAGTTAGTATACCCCTGTGCACGGTTGCGCTCGGGTATACAAATTCATTATAACTTTGTACGAAATTGGCACTTTTATACAAAATAAAAGCAACAAAAGTCTGAAGAATTCTACTCAACTGAAACCGATTGTGATGTTTGTTCACTTAAGCAAGGTGTTTTCCTCATAACTTTTATTTTATTGTATTTGTTGCAGGTTCATACGAAATTATAGCACTTATATATATAGCATTTTGTCTAGAAAAATAGAGAAAAAAGCAGGGTAATCAGCAAAATATTTTAATAAATCTTAGCAAAGAAAAATTACTCTTTATAAATGTTTCCTCCACCTTCTTACTATAAAAAAATTATCGACTTCTGAAAAAAATGTGGCTCATATTTGCGACTTTTAACGTAACCCCATATAGAAATAATGGCACGTTGTTTGCATGGGAGGTATGTGTTAAATAAACCGATTACTCCCATTTTTTGGATGTTAGTTACTTATTATTATTATTATTACTAACATATGAGCAAAATTTTGGAGTAATATGTTCATCTGTCGGCTTTTTGTGGCCTTTTTAAGGCGTTTTCGAGGTTAGGTTTCTGTGGGTGATATGATATGCTTTGAAATAAATCGATTACGCCCAATTTTTGAGGATTCACACGTAACGTTATTAAAAATATATAGAAACAATTTCTTGGTAATATATTCATTGGTAAGGTTTTTATGGAATTTTAAGGCATTTTTTAGGTTAGGTGTGTATGGGAAGCATGCTTTAAAACAAATCGATTAAGACCATTTTTTGGCGTTGTGACAAACATATGGAAAAAATGTTGGACTAATATATTCATCGGTGCAATTTTTATGGCAGTTTTAAGACGTTTTTGTGGCTAGGTTTATACGGGAGGTATGCTTTAAAATAAATCCATCACGCCAATGTTTCATTCTTTTCTTGATTTATATCCATAAATGTTAGTACGGAAAATTGAGGCTCTACGCCGATTCATACTAATTTTTTCCAAAAAATTTATGGCGGTGTACCACTGTGTGATGTACGCGTTGATGTGCATTAAAGGCAGGCGGCTGGAAACTAAACCAGTTTCGAGAAGTTGTTAAACGAGATTTTAAAGCAACAAGAAGGAGAATACACACTGATACAACTGTATGATTCTCATTCCCGCTTTTCTCCGGAGAGTAGAATTGGCTTAGTAAACTTGAAATGCACACACATATTTATGTAAACGATTGTGTGTACCCAAGCAGTGTTGCCAGGTTTTCGGCATGAGAAAACGTCCCTCTTGGTCTGAAACAACGTCATTTCCTATCCAAAAACGTATTTTCTATGTATGCACACGGAATTGTTCTTATTAAACTTTTATTGTATACAAAGGTACATATTTATGTAAGGTATATTAAAATGTCATTTCGACAGAACACATTTAAAATTCATTAGTGGCATTCACCAAAGTGAGCAAGTGGCCTGGCACTCTGGCAAAACAGCAGATGAGCTCAAGCAACGACTGTTGACAACAATTTGGTGAATACCACTATTGTAAACTGGTTTGAGATCGTTAATATAAAATTCATTTTATACATACACTTGTGATCAGCTGATTAAGTCATCAACACTTTGATCGATTTTGGCTGTTTCTCTTTTGCTTATTTAATGTTTATTATTTTTTCATAAAAGCCTAGCTCATTATATAACTAACACAATATAAATCCATATTCCAAACTTTGTGCAAAACTATAAAAAATCTGCAAAGTTTCAGCTAGATTTTTAAGTTTATATTCAGATTTTTTAGAATTTTTTAGAGTACGCAGTTTGATAGCCCATTAAATTCCAGGGTGCAAGTTTTAAGTTGCTAAAGAATCGTGTTGATTTTTAATATTTTATTTTTTCTTGTAGACATTTGGTTAGGCGGTCGGTTGTGGAAAATGCTTAATTACGTCCTGCTAAGAAGGAACATAGTGCTTTTGCGAGCGGGCGCGTTGCAAGCTCTTCCTGATTTGGCTTTTAATATGCAATTGCAAACATGGTAATAAGCCTTGTAACCTCAAGCGTTTACACAACCAGCCTTTAATGCGGTATCCTTAGTCCAAGAATAAAAAAAAAATCAATGCACGTACGCTTGGTTTGCATCATATTTAAATCATATGTGCAAAGAATAAATATCTTTTGAGGCACCTGCTGCAAAAAACAGAGCTTGTAAAGATTTATTAAGAAAATAATTCAAAATCAGTTCTACTTACAAGATTTAGACACTTAGTACGCAAATAGTACGCTATGCATTGAATATATTGTGCATAGAGAAAAATTACTGGGAAGTTAAAAATCGTCATTTTTTACACCGAAATCCAAATGTCAACAGGATACAAAAAACGTCCAAATGACGTTAAAAATGTCAGCCTGGCAACGCTGTACGCAAGTGTAAAAAACTATATTTGTTAAAATTAAATAACGCAAGCCACAAATTGGAGGTGAAGCTCGGTCAAATACTAACATATGTGTAAACGGCAATCTCTTATTATTCAATAACTCAAAACGTTTCGTTTAAAGCGTCAAGTTCGTTACTTGAGTCTTTTGTTTCGGACTATTTTGTAAACTGAAAGATAATTTTAGGGCTGCGACTATCCGTATATTCGTGTATCCGATTGATATTCGCTCATTTGGTTGACCGGGCATCCGGATATAAAATTGATTTCAAAATTACTGAATCTATCGAGTTGCAAATGAATTAATAAAACACTTCTTTAATACACAAACAATTTGTATTTTTTTCTTCATTTTAACATTCTATACACTATTCGGATCTCTATACACTCTCTAGTCGGAAATCCGAAAATTCTGATTTTTATTCAGATATTCGAATATCCGAATAATCAAAAAATCTGGATAGAACTCCCAATCCTAAACAATATGTATTGGTTATATTTTTTTTGACTAATATAGAACTACATCTCAAACAAATTAGAAGTAATTAGAAATTTGTTTTCAACTCATACTCTATCAGAAGTCCCGCCTGTGGACTATGATATAAAACGTCAAAACTTAAGGAATCCTTGTTAAAAATCATCCTTCTTGCGAAAGCAAGAAAGCAAAAAAAAGTAACTGTGTACATATGTACATATTACTTTGCATCTAAACATGTTATAAGTAGACAGCGAATTTTTGTGCAAACAACAACCCTAAAATATGTACCACATAACTATAACCAAAATACATAAATTTGTAATACATTTTGCTTAAGTTTATGGTACTTATTTTATGGAAAAAATCCGCTGTCTAATTATAAGTTATTTTTATAATTTTTTATTGTTCCACTTAAATACATACATGTGTACGACCATAATTCTCATTATTATGTTATTAAGTGAAGTATTTTACCTGTTGTAAGTCATGGCGAAAATTGTTATTTGGCAAAGCTAGCTGATTGGATCCCGAAGAACCGGCGCCAGTATCCATTTTATTTATTAATCCCAATGAATGGAAACAGATACTGTAACTTAAACTATTGTTTGTTTCAAATAAAACGTTTAATGCATTTCAATTAGAATAACTATGTATGTTGCGTTTTGAAAGACCTTTGTAAGTTGTTGAACTGAGTTTGTCGTGAGCTCTGTATAGCTTTTTCTTCCTAAAAGACACGACACTCCTTACAGACATGGATATGCACATACATATGTACATACATACATATATTCATATCTGATTTTGTTTAACTGTATTCGAGAGTTTGCGAATATGGCAAAATACACGCGGATAACAGGTTCGTTGAGTATTCCCTCAAGTATAAGCAAACCTTAAACAGGTATTTTCATATTTAGGTAGAGGACAAGATCCAGCAGTTTTTCAGCATTTGTCATTTTTATTTGTAAGCTTGTATAATGAATTTAAGTTACTTTATCACCACAAAAAACACCTCAATTCAACTAAGAGTTTTGGACACAAACTCAAATGCTTTGCAAAACTTAATTTTTACTTTTACTTGCCGTACTTCGAACTCACTTTTTCTTTACTTTTACATATTTATTTTTACTGCACTCATATTTAGTATACGTATGTATGTACATATGCACATATCTACGATACAATATTACTGAGTAAGCAATTATCACCGTAGTTGAGGTACTTATGTACATATATTTAAATGGTTTCATTCACCAGCATTCGTTTTCTTACAGCAAGCACCTCTCATAAGACTATGGCAGTACAAGCGCATTAAATATCAACAGAAATGCCGAAGCCAAATATACGCGACAAACTGAAAATGCACAGATTCTAAAACAGGTAGATACATAGTATTTGCTGTTGCGATCTACTCCGCTCTGCACTTTGTTCAGCTGCGACGTTTTAAGCTGATTTGTCCGTAAATATCGACCACTCGCGACAAAGACCCGGCTGCTTATGCAGCAACAATTGAATATGAAGTGCTTGACTACTGGCCTAGAGCCAACGAATCAGGGTTGCCACTTTGAGAAATTGTTACCAAAATTGGTAAAAAAATTTGGGTTAGTAAAAAAGTAAATTTTTTCTCATTTTCGTAGATTTTTGATGAAGTTTCCGTACCCGATTTATTTTTCGTAGTTATATTTAAATATATTATAAATTTCTTTGCATACTTTTTATATAATTATATACGTATAAATGTATATCGATATAAGGCGAACATATCGCGCTCCATTCAAAACTAATTTTACTGGAATCCCCAGGAACTTTTGATTGCCAAAATATTTTAAATGATTATTTAAATATAAAGAAAAAATAGACAGGTATGTAATTACGCACTATAATTGTTCGCAAAAAAATTAAATCAACGCCATTTTTTATAAATGGGAAAAAAAATAAAAAAATCAATGGGAATTTTAAGCAGCACATTTTTGGCTATACTCAAATAGTATTTGCTTTAAAACTCCATACCCCGAATTGTTCTAAAAATTCAGAGTAAAAAATTCGAAATTTAGACGAAAATTTTTGGAATTTTTCTATATGCTGTATATAGTTTGAATCCTCGATTTTTATGGATTTAGTTAAAGCAACAAAAAAATTGCGAATATTAAAAAAAATCACTTTTTTGAATCACTGTATTTGTCTATAATAACTCGAGTTGAAGTTTTTCAAATAATCAAGTTTCGTTGTTGCCTTTAGTTTCATCACTTCCGCTTTTGGTTGAAGGAAACTGAGAATATGCCAATAATATGACTCAAATACCATATAACCAGTTAAGTAAAAAGTTCTTAAAAACAATTTTAATTCTTATTGAAATAACTAAAAAAATAAATAAAAAAACTATAGTTTTAATTAAAATAAATAAAAAAATAGCAAAACTATAGTTTTTATTAAAAGTTATTGGTAGATATTTCCTACATTTGGTAGATTTTATTCAAGGCGATGGTAAATATTTTTTTTGTCAATGGCAACCCTGCAACGAATTGAGTGCTAAAGAGAGGAGAAGAGAAGTACGTTAAGCTACAATAAGTGTTGCCAAACATCGGCTTTTTCTACCAAAACTGGTAGGTTTTTATCTATTTGGTAGCTTCCGAGATAGTTATTTGCGAAAAATAGAAAATATGTATCTCCAAACTTTTTAGCAACCTTTTGTACACGAATATTTCACCGGTGTGTTTTTATAACGGCGGCCACAAACATGTAAATATACCTGATACCTGTGTAAGTGCAAACGTATACCCTTATAATTAGCAATATACAATTGAACATCCATATATACTTTATGGCATACGTGGACCAAGATTTCAGAAAAGTCGCCAATGGGCTCGTACCCAACCATATTCCAGGCGGAGGTCTTCACAATCGAAGTCTGTGTTCGCGAATGTCATCGTAGAAGGTAGATATTCAGGCAGCGTTAAAGGCCTTACACTCTTTTAAAACGGAATCAAGGCTTGTGAACTCTTTAACCATCTAGGATCCCAAAATAGCGTAACACAGTGGTGGGTTTCGGGACCTGAAGGGTTTGAAGGCAAGAAAAGGCTGACCTCCCCGCAAAGCGTGGTGCCCAAATACCGCTCGCATGGTCCCGAGCTATTCTGTGGTACATCTAAAGGATATACTGCAGAACTACTTAGGAGCTAGCTGGAAATAATCTCGGATTGCTGCCAACTGGCGGAAGTAAAAGGGGATAAGACAATCAAAGAGATTCATAACACCTTCCAGGAGGAACTCCGAAAGACTCCTAGAACTTAGAATTCTTACTGNATGAAACTTTTTATTTTTGAATTAATACCACAATACTATTTTACCCTTCCGATTTATAATTTTTTTATTTCACACTGATGACAAATTATATTTTAATGGATATATAAAATTATTGGTTAGTGGAGTATGTATTTGAATATTTGCGAAATACACTATACAAAAATTGTACTTTTCGACTGTAAATTGTATCGACTTTTTAATTTGCTCATATGCATGCATGCATACGTAGATTCCCTTCAAGACCAATGCTTTGGTGGTATTCACGGGAAAGTTTATGTAGGTACATTTACATATTTTACACTTTTAACATAAATGTCAAGGCAGATATTTTAAGATACACTTCTTAACAAAAATTTTTTTTTAAGTTATTATGAATGGAAAAAAGAGACATCTTCCTTGAATTCAGTACTAAAACTTGACATTTCAAGTGCTTATCAAAACTTTATACATGTTAACTAGATTGGCCATTTGTCTTAAAATTATATAATTTTAATTATTTGTTTATAAAAATGCAGTTTACACTTTAACAAGACCCGTATAAATCCAAGGTTTAATCTTTGCGCAATATTAACAAAATCAACAAACTTTCGTAAAGCTTTTTAATTCGATTTCCTATAAATACACATTTTGAGTATGCAGTTTTGTAGCCCGATCAATTCAAATAAAACGCAAGTTTAAAATACATAGCTGCGACTTATCGTTGATTTTTAATATTTTTTTATTTTTTTGATGAAGGCGTTGCTCAATTTCTTCATTAAAAAAATTGTCGAACATACTTAGATAATATGGAAGAAAATTACCGACATCGTCAAAAATATGCTATACATCAAATGTAAATCACAGCTACTTTAATTTTGCACTTTGTTAGACTAAAATTGAATGAGCTACAAAACTGCAAAATATTAAGAGATAAAATTGAAATAGAAAGTTCGAAATTTTTACGAAAGATTGTTGATTTTTTTTATGTTGTTCAAAGATTAAACTCATTTTCATTTAGTGTTTGTTAGGGAATAAACTATATTTTTATAAACAAATAATTCAATTTAAAATATAATAAAATAAATAGTCAAATCTAGTCAATATGTGAGTGGCGAAAAATTAAGATATTTAAGAACATCTCTTTTTTAATTAACGATGACACTGTTTCTATATGGAGCTGATTTCAACATTTTGCTTTAATAAAATTTAGTATCGAAAATACTCTTTCCAAACTTGCCTAGGAATGTGATATAATGGTTCGTTCAACCTCATGGAATAAACGAGTAGATAAAAAATATATAACGGTAAAACTGGCACATATATAAATATATGAAATAATGCACTCAGGCGACCCCTATAGCCATTGTGTGTCACAAATTTAAGTTATCGATGGAATTTTTTTTCATCCCACGTATGACGTATTAATATTTATTTCAATATTGTTGTTGAGCTTTGTACCACGATTACGTTTCTAGGAAAAAATCAACAAAGACTTACAGGCTAACCTAATATTCACGCACGCCGCCAATTTATTGTCAAAAATTTCTCATGCACATGCAACTTGTATGAGATCAACCGAAATTGAACGGCGTGCGTATGAAGCTAACTCAATTTCCAAATTTTTTTCTGCGTGACATTTTGATTTGACGTTTCGCTCAATGAAATCAAATGCAAATGCATGCAAGTCAATTTCGGGTGACGCAAAAAAACATATTCGACGGCATGCGTACCAAAACGCAAGCCGCGAATATTAGGTTAGCCTGTAAGTGGTAGAAGTTATAGCTGCTGTTTCGGAGACAGAGACCGGCTTTGAGTACTAATAAAATTAGTGTACTTATTCATGATCAGGCATGGGCAGAGAACGAGCACACGCTCAAAGAGCGTAAACATCGCGTGTAGGTATACAAGCAAGAGCGTAACGATGAGAACGCGGCAGCATGCAAAATGAATTAAAGCGCAAACAGTCAACGACGTAGCGTAGACGTAGGTTGACGCAGACACGATCTATCTTATGGGATTCGCATCTCAGTATATCCAGTAAAAAAACTGTGGTGAAGTCCTTTATGGGGATAAAGTTTCTAGAGGTGAAATTTTAGGTAGCACACAATTTCTTACACGCATGGTTGCTTTTCAGCACTCATGAAAGAAACTTAAGAAATATTTGAAAAAAAAGTTCATATAGTACATTAATTTTGAAAGAAATACCATATAATGTATGTACTCTGGTTAATAATATCAAAAAATGTATTAGAACCACCGTTTAATGTTATATTTGATACAAATTAATATTGCTGCCCCGAACGCTCTGCGCCTTGCCACTGAATAATAGATTTACTTAAAATTACATCCCTGGTCCTTGTTCTTTCTGTATCGCATCGTGGTGAATTCATATTTCTCAGAAATTTTACAACAAAACCAAACAAAGCAAGTATTTTATTTGCTAATTTTTGCGATTTCTATTGTTTAATGTAAATTTGTCTTTTTAGGATATGTCGAGCCAACAAAGAAGGCGCAGTTGGAAAATTTAGTAATTAGTAATGAAGTAGCTGGCATATTTGGAAAATTATGCCGATAAACAGGATGGAATTTGGGAAAGTAAGTGCATGGTTTCAGCATATCTATGTATAAAAAGTATTTAATTAATTTGTTTATAGAAATGTTATAAATCGAGTGGCTCATTTACGATGTGCTCCAAACATTTGGCGAACTTTTTTTCGCCTTTTCAACGTGCTAAGTAACAAGTTAAGATGACTGCCATCATGGGCCGGTAAGAAACCGCAAGCAAAGGGCAGACAACCTTCCAGGAAGCTGCCTCCTGTCCCCGAGCCGAAGCTGCAGTTCAGCAAGAGCAGGTCAGCAAATTGCTACCCTGATCAAACGTAAACTAAAGCGCTCTGCTGTGATTGCACTCCGTAAATGTGAAAACTTGGTGCATGCTGAGAAATATCAAACAAGAAAACTCGGTGATGGACGCCGTGAGATGGAGGAGCGCTGTGTGGCAAAGAAATGCGGCCAATTCGACGGGCCTGAAAAATCCAAATTGGCTTTTGTGATCCGCATCCGCGGTATCAACAAAGTTGCACAAAAAGTGCGTAGTTTTACAGTTCTGTCTTCGCCACATTAAAACGGTGTGTTCATCAAATTGAGCAAGGCAACCATTAATATGCTACGTATGCCGAACCCCTATATGGGGTTATCCAAATC